CCTGACATCCAGCCTGTGTTGCATTGGGTGGAGAGCCAATTGAAGCCACCATGGGAGGGGGTTGCTGGGTTCTCGCTGGCAACTAAAGGATTGTGGTCCAAATTTGAGGCTCTGCGTCTGGAAGAGGGGGTGCTGCAAAGGGCTTGGAAAGACCCCGCCACAGGTGAGGAGCGGTGGCAGATTGTAGTCCCCAAAGGTCTGAAAGACGTAGTCCTGCAGGCCATGCATGGAGCATCTGGGTCCGGACATTTTGGCGTCACAAAAACACTCCGTCGCCTCCGGCAGGGGTTTTATTGGGGCCGGTGCAGGAGGGACGTGGAGGACTTTTGCCGCCGCTGTGACCCCTGTACAGCACGGAAGGGGCCGACAGGTCAGTCACGTGCCCGTCTGCAACAGTTTGTTGTAGGGGCCCCTATGGAGAGAGTGGCTGTGGACATTATGGGTCTGCTGCCTCGCTCAGACAAGGGAAACTGTTATGTTCTGTCAGCTATTGACTATTTTACAAAATGGCCAGAGGCTTACGCCATCCCTGATCAGGAGGCAGAAACAGTGGCTGATGCCTTGGTGGGGGGACTGATTAGCAGGTTCGGGGTACCAGACAGTATACATAGCGACCAGGGCAGAAATTTTGAGTCACGGGTGTTTTCTGTCATGTGCAGCCGTTTTGGCATCCAGAAAACAAGAACAACGCCATTACATCCCCAGAGCGATGGACTGGTGGAAAGGCTTCACCGCACCTTAGGACAGCAGCTGGCCATCCTCACAGCGGAACATCAGCGGGACTGGGATGAGCACCTTCCACTGGTGTTAATGGCATGCCGCTCAGCTGTACAAGACTCCACAACTTGCACTCCATCACTCCTCATGTTGGGGAGGGAGTTGCGCACACCAGCTGAACTGTCTTTCGGACGCCCTCCAGATGCACCTGCTGTTCCGGCCGGTCCTGAGTATGCCAGAAAGCTTCAGGACAGGTTGGAGACAGCACATGCATTTGCTCGGAGACAACAGGAACAGGCAGGCGTGCGTCAAAAACGGAACTATGATGTAAGAGCTAAGGGTCGACACTTTACAGCCGGAGAGCTAGTCTGGGTTTACAACCCTCGGAGAAAGAAGGGCCGTTGCCCAAAGCTGGACAGTCAGTGGGTGGGTCCCTGCAGAGTGTTGGAGCGCATGGGGGAGGTGGTTTACAGAGTGCAGATGCTCCACAACAGGAGAAGAGTAGCACTGCACAGAGACAGGTTGGCACCCTATCAAGGCAGGGCTGCACCTCAGACCCCGGAAGGCCATCAGTCGGGGTCGCCGGTATCACTACCAGCCTCCCCGGAAGCCATGCCGCTGTCGCAGAATGATGTCCCAGTGGTGGGGTCCGAAGCTCCGCAGGGAGCTCGACCCCAGCGGACGAGGAGGGCCCCAAGACGGTTGGATGACTTTGTTTGTTCCCTCGTGGGCGAGGAACTCTGTAGTGGGGGGGTAATGTAGCGATTCTGTGTTTTAGTTCTGCTCGTGTCGTTATGGTTATGTGTATTAGTTTTGTGTTCATTGTGATCTTTATTGTGATGTGTATAAAGTTGTAGGCTTCCCCTGACTGTCTCTGCTGGACTCCCACTCACATGTGAGAGATCTGTCATGTGGGCGGGGGATCAGTGGAGCAGCAGGACAGGACCGGAAGAGGGGGGAGTTCGAGTGTGTTAGCGGGAGGCTAGTTCGGTGAGCGCTACGGCTTGTTGCAGGTGTGCGCTGCGCCTCAGAAATAGCAGCTCGGTTTTCAACGACTAATAAACCCGGTTGGTGGGACTTCTACCTGTCGTGTCCTGGCGTCATTACAATATATAAAAATAACTTGATAGAGCATTGATTTTACGTTGCCAGTATTTGTCGAGTTGATTTTTAATTTCATTGAATTTCTCCTGGTTTAAATAAAAGACGAAGGAAATAATTTAAATATTCAATAACAGTTTAAAATATTTAACGTTTTTCATGCGACATTAAAAGGTGGGTTGATTAGCTGTGGTGGCCATTTTGAATTGAGTTGACCTCAACAGTAAATCAGTCATTACTTTAAGTGTCTCAATAATATGTCCACTGGTTCATAAAATATTTTAACAAACACATACATGCATATTACTGCCTGTAATTATAATGTAAATACTTTACTCCAACTTGTAATTATGATAAAGCCATAACACGAGAATATATCCATACTTTACCTCAGTGTATCTTTTTTTTTTCCACCTATTACCAGTTTCTTATTTTCATTAACAAATGTACTCCTCTGTTATTTCGTCTAACACACAGGCGGCCGGTGAGCATCACCAAATGCCAGTCCCTCTCCAACTTCAGCTTGGAAAACTTATCCGTCTCGGACGGCGAGGAGGGAAACACCACCGATCACTCCCACAGCGGCACACCTGACGTAGTCAGCACCAACACAGACGAGCGCCTGGACGACAAAAGTGATGACCTGCTGTCTCAGGGCTCTGAGATTCCTGCCGATCCCTCTGACCCGACCCAAATGGGCTCCGACGGCTTGTCTGAGAAGGAAGCTGTTCTACGACAAGTGAAGACGCAGCTCGCTTCAAGTGAACACAATTATGAGGTAAGAAGAATAAAAAGAAGTATGTGAATGGAAAAAGACAGGGTAGTATTTAGAATACAGACATGCAGGTCTAGTTATAGATACTTCTGAGACTTGATGTTTTGTTGTTGTTGTTAAACCAGGCTCAGTACGATGACTCGGACTGCGACAGTGCAGAGCTGGACCAGTCATGTGGTGCAGACCCAAGTCAACCTCCAGCCAACTGGTGAAATACAAACATCTGGTTTCTTGAAGACCTGCTTCACTCTTCAGAAAAACACTAATCGCGTTGGGTCTTCATTGGGAGACATGAAATTAAAACTCATCTTACTAGAAATCTGATTTAACCCATCACGTGAACTTTTAATGGAGGAGCTGCTTCGACCTAAAAAAAAGGTCTCGTTGTGGTTTATTCCATAGTAACAGGCCGAAGATGAGCAAAAGTTCATCACGCTACGCCTCAGCAACACACGCCTCCACTGGAGGTCAGGAACAACTGTTCGTCATCTTCCACATTGATTTTTATATACTTCCATCATTGTCTTATTTAAAATGATTTTACATGAAAATATGTTTAATAGATTCTTTCAGGGTGTTTGCAGCAAGTGCAAATAGCAACACAACAGCTCAGTCACTGGTGTTGCAACTCACTTAATTTAACACATTTTCTTACATTATGCACTATTTATTTATGTGTGAAAAGTTTACATTTCATTTGCAATTAATTTAGTGTCATTATTTGCCTCATTTCTATGTTATTTGAATATGATTGTAAATATGAAACTGATGTAAAATGAACACATTTTTTTTAAATGTGAGATTGTATAACTTAAGGTGCTGATGTTTCTCCGTAGGTGGTTGTTCTTTTTGAACCTCAAAAAGATTCTGTTGGCCGAATGTAACTGAAGCTGCTGTTCATGATCATCAGCCACAAGAGGAACAAATTATTGCTGCAAATTGTTCAGCAGTAAAAAAAAAAGTTTCAAAATATCTTCGGACACTATGGAGGGTGTAAATTATATTTAACAGAGAGCATGCTTGTAAAGAGAAAAGCGTGCAATGTAAACCTCTTGGATGATCAATTCAAATATGTTTTGTGATCAGAAATAAATTTTACTCATTGAGGAAAATAAAAAGACAGCAGATATTTAACGAGAACTTTGTAACAATGACATGAACTAACAAAAATAGAAATGTTCCATCTCACAGAGGGAACGTTCGCATTGTGCCAGTGTAAATAAAAATATCTTTTTAATTTAAATACATTTTAACACCATTTTGCATCTCTAATATGCACTTATTTCTAGCAGAAATACTCAGTTTGGCACATTTATTCTTAAACATGAAGAATAAAGTTACAGAATTTGACTTAAGCTCTTAGAACATGGCTATTCAACTGGCGGTCCGGGGGCCAACTCAGGCCCGCGAGTGAGCCCAGTTCGGCCCACCAATGGGTTCATTTTTAAACAAAACTAGATTTTAAATTGTAAAACAACCGTACTTAATGGGAACAACTGCTGATGTCCAGCCTTCAGTAACTGTGGCCCCCTGAGCAATATAGCTGAATAGCCCCGTCTTAGAATAAGGATTTACACGCCAACATTGATGTTTTCAAGTTTGCACTAACATTGGGGAAGACATTTTTCAGTTGTTTGTGGGGACGTCTTTAATACAGAATGATGAAACTGGTGCTGATGTACTTTATGAAAACCTTCCTGTACATTTGAGCTTACTATCCAATAATCCATCAGGTCGATCAATAAGCTAGAAACATGTGTTTTTATTTTTTAATCAGGAAGTAGGAGTTTAAGTTTACATTTGTAGAGCTTTTATGAACAATGTCTCCAAGATCTGAACCAAGAAATGCATGATGAGGATGAAATGTTGCCAACAGGCCAAACTACTGCCCTCTAGTGTTTCAGTCATGGAGGTTTGTGTTTTGTTTGATTTCTTGAAACGACACCAGGCTGGACTGTAACGAAGGCTTTTTATACAACATTAATGTAACTGTACAATAAATATATTTAAGAAGCAATTTAAAATAAACTCAGACTTATTAAAAACTCAGTGGATGTTTGTAATATAGAAAAGACAGCAACAAAATGTGTGGTTTAAGCATTTCACGCCTTTATTTCTTTTTTAACAATATTGTGGCACCCAGGTCTACAGTCTTAAACAACGTGCACAAAAGATTTTTTTTTCTGTCCTGCAAATAAAAAAAAAAAAGAGAATCCTGACTTGAGCAAAGCAAAGAGAAGGAATCTAGTGGTATATCACAACCCTTTCTTTGTTTAGTTCAAACATATAAATCGTTTCACTCCTCAGCCTTATCACATTTATTAGACCAATCAGTGTCCAGAAGTTATTTTGGTAGTTAAAAAAAATATTCATTCTTCCATTTAAAACAAATATTTCAACTTTTTCTTTTTTTTTTTAAAGTATATATCAATCTATACAAAAAAGCGAGGCCAACCCTCTGCTTCTGATCCCTTAAACCGAGTCCAGAAAAATCCCCAAAATCTCCCATCCTAGCAAAATATCAACACATGATCTCAGGACCAGCAGAAAGGGGGGAGGGGGGGAGACCGGAATGACATGTAGAGAGGTGACATGCGTAGTCGTACACATTTGAATTTATCTGAATAAATTAATCTGAACGTTAGAACATTTGTCGTCAGAACCAGATCTGATCAGTGACGGTGAAACTACAGCTACGTTTCCTGATCAGTGACATACGTGTAATAATCCAAGTTACAAGCACTTCAGTTGGGAAGGGGACGCAGGGCGAGGACGCCGTTGATTCTTAAAGCAAGTAAATATGGGCCAAAATAAAAGAACAAGAAAAAAATCTAAACAAAAGAAAACACTCTAGTCGTAATTTTTGATTCTTTATTTTTCTTCTTCTCCTTTTTAAAGAAAAAAAAGAGCTGTACAGAACTAAATCTATATGCCCCAATTGGGTTTTCCAACTCTACTTCTCTGTCACGGCAAAATTAAAATAAAAAAAAAAATAGAGCAAGAGAAACAAAACAAAACAAAAAAAGGCTACCATCAAATCATTAAAATCTGCAACATGACTCAAACGAGAATTTAAAACCTAATTTCCTGCTTCTTTTGACTAAAACCAAAACAAAAGAAAATAAATAAAGAACTCAGATTCAATCAGTGGCAGTTGACATTATTTTCAAATGAGAACGAGGATATACAATATATAAACTCTGAAGATGAATAGTTGCATTAGACTGCTGTATGGTAGCCGGTGATATAAAATGTGACTTAGTGCAGATGCAGTGTCCTATCAGTTGGCTGCCAGTCCTGTGGCCTCAGAGGAAAGCCTGGGGAAACAGACGCACACCCAGACACCAGGAAAAGAGAGAAAGGAAGGCATGCAATCAGACAGAAAGATAAACATCAATATCATTCACTGTACATTACAATAGTAGTATTCTCATTAAAAGGAGATCTGGGTTTATTTACCAGAAAAACTATGCTCGTATATAAAATGAAATAAGTGTCCCATGTGAGGAACTTCTACTACATGTGACTAATTCTCTAAACCAGCTACTGATCAAAATCAGCAAATTGACACTCGTCAGTTAAAAAAACAAACAAAAACTTGGATCAGAGGGCCCGTGCTGCTCATGTTTATAGACAAAATATGAAGCTGCGTGGCAGGAAAGGTTTGCAAAAAATACTGAAAACAGGAGCAAACAAGTCTGTTTTCACTGCAACTGTTTTATAAATGGGTTTTTATTTTTTTAAGCTGCAGAGTATTTTCTTAAATACTTCAAACGACATGCAACCCAACAGAGCACTTCGAGCGCAGACTGCAGGCTTACTCGCGGTTCCTAGAGTTTCCGAAAGCAGAAAGGGAGGGAGATCTTTCAGTTATCAGGCTCCTCTTTTGTGGAACCAACTTCCAGATTCTGTCCATAAGACTGACACGTTGTCCAGTTTTAAGACTTTCCTTTTTGATCAATGCAAAATTAGGGTTGGCTTGTTATGCTGCTATAGGCTTAGACTACTGGAGGACAAATTGACCTCATTTCTTTAAATGAATTGTTAAAATTGAATAGTTTTCATTTGATATTATTTCTATCTTAACATGTGATTCTCGAACTGCCATTGTGTATCTGTTCCTATCAAACCCAGCCGGTTGAAGCAGATGGCCGCTTGTCCTGAGCCTAGTTCTGCTAAAGGTTTCTTCCTCATGAGGGAGTTTTTCCTTCCCACTGTTGCCTCAAGATGAGAGTCTGCGATGGAAGCAGTCTGCTCCTCGGATAAATAATGTTAAATTATTATTTTTAAACACAAATGTTTCTGTTAACTTATTATTTTTATATATGAATGTTTCTGTTCAGTGCCCTGAGATGACTTCTGTTGTGCCTTGGCGTTATATAAATAAACCAAATTGAATGGAAAATGTTCAGATTAACCCAGTAATGACACTTACCGTTGACTTGTCTGTCTGACCAGCACTTCTACATTTAAATTTTCTAAAGTTTCTACTTTTTAGCTTTACATTGCAATTCCATTTATGATAGTTAATTATCTAATTTCATTTGTAAAAGTAACTTTCTGTAGTCTCCGCCTGTTGCCTGGCAACAAGTAAAACGTATTGAATTTTATTTTTTTAATAATCTCTGCCGGGCTGCTTGATTAGCTCCTGTTTTCAGTTTTTCTATTAAGCCAACGAGCTGCTGCAGCTTCATATTCAAAGACGTGAAGGGGATAAAATTTATTCATCTAGCTTTACTCGAGTGGGTGAACACATGTAACAATCAGATCCACAATACGTCTGTTTATTCTTGTAATTGTTCCTCGGTGAAGTTGTACTGAACCGAAGCAAATGGCGGTTGTGGGGATTTTAACATCCGAAGAATGATTCGGTGGCTTTCATACCTGAGGGAAGATTTTCTTTAAAATATTATTTTTCTTTCTTACATGAGCAAAGTAATCCTAAAACACTACATTATGTAACAGTCACCTAAAAACAACTAGAAGCTAACTGCACAAATACTTAATGACATCTTAAGAGAGAGCCGCTACCTGAGCAGAGCTTTCACAAAAAGAGAAACATTTCAGTGATTCAGTGAAATTATTCCCCGTCCATGCTAAGATTAAAGTCGTTTAAAAATAGAATGCACTCGACATGTCGTATCTTAAAGAGACAGATAAAATCACGCTACAGATATTTTATACATATGGCATTAATCATCTCTCTGGGTTTGTAACGGGGGGGCTGCTTTCGGCAGGATGCGAGGCGTGGCGCAGCCGGATACAAAAGCAAGTGCAGGTACAGACAACAGAGAGCATTGTCAGCACTTCAGTAGTAGATGACTTATGTTTCCTTCGTTAGTAAGGGGACAGCCTTCGCCTTTTAGACTTGGAGCCAAGCTCGGGGGCAGCTTTGGGCTCAGTGGCAATTGAGTGTGGGGGGTTACTGGCCCCACTGACAACATGGAGGGCCAGGAGAGGCAGGGGCTTCAGACTGAGGAGACTCGACACACAGGCAGGAGAGCTGGGGAGCAGGGAGTCAGTGGAGGAGGAAGAAGCAGAGGAGGAAGAAGAGGGAGGTGGCGGCCCTGGAGCCAACAAGGACAGAGGGATGGAGGCTGTGGGGGGCACCACACAGGAGGAAGAGGAAGAAGAGGAGGAGAAGGAAGAGGTAGCAGCAGAGGAGGTGGTGGTGGTGGTGGTAGTAGTAGTGGTGGTAGTAGTAGTAGTAGAGGTGGAGGGAGAGCACAAGCTGGTCTGTTCAGGGTTCAAGGAGGAGGAGGAGGAGGAGGGAGGAGGTTTAGAGGACTCTACACTGTAGAAAGAGAGACAAGGAGAGAGGGACAACACAGTCGGGATGGGTCACAGGGCAGGCTGATGAGCAATGGGCGGGGAGGGGGAGTTTGGGGAGGAGGCGGGATGGGGTCAGGTGTGGGGGAAATAAATCACTCAGGGATGTAACAAAAGACTTTCATTAGAAAAAAAATAATGAGTACTCATATCTGTAGTGATGGATCAATGTAGGAGAAAATTGTAAAAAAAAAAAAAAGTAACATAATAATAATGCCAATTAAAAATGCAAACAGCTTAATAAAATAAAACATCAAATTGGAAATATATTTTGCATTTGCATGGTACAAGGTCCACAGATTATTTTTCTCTAACAAATCACTGCAGGCTTGTAAAATTTAGAGAAACTTGATCCAGCACAACAGCACGAGTATTTAAAGAAGAGTTATCTTCTTTTGACTTAATGGTACTTTAGATATGACTTAATACCACAATCTGTTATTTTTATCCACATCTATGCTTTTAATTATTATCTCACCTGGCATTGATGAGGTACTCTGCCAGACTGATGCTAGCAGGCAAGCCTGTGATCGTAACCTGGCGGTCTGTTGAGCCGTCCACTGGATTTGCGATCTTGATCTGGGCACCAGACATTTGCCTAATCTCATTGATTTTGGCTCCCTGGCGGCCGATGATGCATCCAATAAGCTGCGACCAAGAAGAGCAGGCAAGTGACAGAAATGCAGTTGACAAATGCACTATTTATACAATGCACAGTTAAGATTAAACTTTTTTCACTTTAATAAAACTATCAGTTGACACTAGAGAATCAGTTTGGATTAGGCCACCAGTTCTGTTGATAATCAACTAATTATGCTGATTTCCAATGCAGTTTCATGCAAAAAGTTCTCAACTCTAATCCTGTATGAGGCATTAAAGCACCTACATGCTGAAAATGGCATTTCTACATTTTGAACGTTTATGTTTACAGTATTTGCACACGTGCCTTTATGATGACCATGATTAGGATATTTACTAGAAAAAGATATTTACCTCAAGAGCTTGGGTGGCTAAAAATATGCAACTACTGAATAAGTTGAAGCACCGCTTATTGTGTTCTTACACGTTGTAACTGTGGTTTTAGGTAGAATAAACACTTTTCCCTGTTATTACAAACACAAAAACAACTTTGCAGTGGCTGTGCACAAGTCCTGGTGTTCCACAAGCTCATATGGTGCAGAAACTGATGCATTTAGCTCTTTTTTTTAATTTTGGTCTAATCCTTTAAGGGAACAAAATAAAATAAGAAATTACTGTTATCTTAATTTTCTTTTCTTTTTTTTATCCTGTAACACTTACATCATTTGGAATGGTCATCTCATGAGAACTGGTTTGAGCAGAAGCATCAATTCCTGACAAAAAAATAAATAATTAAATTAAATTCAGTTTGTTTATACAGTGCCAGATCACAACAGACGTGGTCTCAGGGCACTGAACAGAAACATTCACAAACATACAAAAGCCAATTAGTAAAGTTCTTTTAAGGAAGAAAATACTGTACCTTAAACAAGCATTTAAACAACACTCGCTATATATAAAATGTACTAAAACAAACAGGATTCTAGTACAGCCTGTGAGTGGATTATATAAAGTGAATGAGCAGTACTCTTTGGGGGTGGGGGGTTGGCCCCAAGCCAGAAAACAATTTTGCTATCAAAGCAGAATCAGTTTTTTAACAAATGTTACTTAAAATTAAAATCATGTTAGGTGAATTTTCTGTTTTGGTCTTCTAAATATGTGAAATTAAAACCGTTTCCAGATTACTTTCCCGCTCATCCCATCCACAATTAGAATATTATCACCGTTTTTTTTATTTTTTTATTACCAAGGTCAACTTAACTTTTGAACAAAGTGCAGCAAGTGTAAATTGGATCAGTGAGTTGCCAAGTTGGTTGAGGAACAAAGAAAAGCAGAACAATTTTGCATACATACTGTCATTTTGTGCATGAACATTAGATAAACATATGCCCATTGTAAGGTTGCCACTATCTCCATCCACAGCCGTCAAAATGGATTCAGAACTTGAGATAGCGCACAAATGATTCTATGCATGTAGTCAGAATGTAAAATATTTGAGGTTCATGGATTGAAATGTTGCTATGAAAGCCCACAGGCCCTTGCTGTGCTGCATACCAGTGAATCCCTGGTTGCCTGGTGCAATCGGGAAAGGGCTCTGCTGCATAGCCAGCTGGTGAAGCTTGGTGAGCTGTGGAGAAATAGCAGCAGAGGAAGACTGTGAGAGTGAGAGGAGGAGGCGGGGAGAGAAATGGAGGAAATGGAAAACACAGGAAGAGAAGAAAAAATAGAACAAATATAAATCACAATCAGTAAAGACAGTTACACAAGAATGCACAAAAAAAAGAAAAATAACTTGTAGCGTTCAGACTTAATACTTGTCCTGAAACTTACAAGAACAACTGTTTTTGTCTAAGGAGCACAACATATTTATTCCTGTCTAGTGCAGGCTGTACTTTTTGATAAAGCTCTTCTTAAGTCTTTATGATCACAACAAAGTGACAATACACAAAGTAAGGAGCTCAGAGTATACAGCACATCTTTAGAAGAAATAAAAAGCTATTGTTGTCATTTGTAAACTAGACTTATTTGACCTAATTACTCAAGTTGTTTCAATTTTCATGCACTGATGCCAAAAGTCTGACATGTAAAAACATAATACAATTTTTTTCATTTACTGTTCCTCAACATCTTAAAAAAAAACAAACAAACAAACAAACAGAAAAGATCCTTCAGGCAACAGGTAGCCAAAACACAATATAGAGAGAACAATGTGTTTTCTAGGACAGACCAATGAATGAGACGTGAAACAAGGCTGCACAAAATCAGAAGAGAAGCAAAGAGTGAGCAGCAGGAACAGATTATTATTCATGGAGCAGTGGAGAATCTGGACAAACAAATGACAAATGTCACTTAAATTCAGAAATGAGCACGAGTTACTGCGCAAAAACACAAAATTTAGAAAACGCTGCTCTAAACAGCTGATATAAAAAGGACTGATAATTGTAGATAAAATGAAGGGATGAATTAAAAAAAGGCCTGTGAATCAACAGCTCTAGACTACCAAACACTGTGTGGGCAGGTAGGGAAGGGGAAGGGGGCACATCTGGGGAGAGAACAGCTGTAATTATGGGTGGGAGTGGTGATGGGGAAGGGCGAGTAAAAATATTCACTGCACTTACATCTGGTTGTGGAATCGCGTGCTGTCCTTGTACAGCATAAGCCTGAAACATATGAAAACAAAGCTTTCACAGGCCCCACATCTGATAATGTCGGGCAACTTATTTCTCCAGCTACGCAACTATTTAAATATTTATTTTAATGCTGCAATTAAAGCTAAATTTAAATGAACCAAGTTAAAGACTTATAGGTAAAATGTCTTGTCCAAAGTCTCCACATTTCTGGAAAAAGAGAAGTCTTTAGAGAGATAAGAGTAAAACTGAAGATAATCCAAGGAGGAGCTTTTCTTTCAAGTTTAAAATAAAGCATTTAGTAAAGTAAAGGACCATGTCATGTTAGGAGAATAAGCACACACAAAAAAAAGATTTGGGTTTGGATAAACGTTAAAGGGAAGCAAACCACCCCGCAAACAAAATCTGAGGCTTGAAACAAAAACTGGACACAAAAGAGACGCTATAACAACAACTAAATCTAACAGGGAACATCTCTTATGAGTAAACTTAAAGCTGCGAGTACATGGTGAAAGTATTAACTTGAAATAAATATATGCAGGTACTCCTATGGCTTCATGTCCCTATGAGCTATTGTCCAGTCATGTGCCATTATAGTAATTTCTGTTAAGCATTTTTAAAGAAAAAAATAAAAAGAACATCAAATATGAGCTTCACAATGACAGAAAGCTACAGTAAAAGACATGGGAGGAAATAAATGTGTCCCTGTTTTCATCTGATGCATCATAAATACCTGTCCACCTGCAAAGATGACGGGTGATCCTGAAGGCTTGGGTCTGTAAGGGATAGTGACCCCCTTAGGGGGAGACTGTAAAAAAAAAAAAAAAAAAAGTATCAATATTTAATTCTATTGTTTGTATATCTCCATTAATGTTCACATTATTATTGATGAAAGGTACAGACAGTAAAATATTTTACAACAACACACTGTATAAAATAAATCAATAAAATAATTCAAATTTACTTCTAATTCACAGGGACGAGTCTCTCACACATCTTCAACTTAACATGCTTCACTGTTATCGGTGTCAAATTACCTCAAGCATGACCACACAGATCTGCTTTACGCACTCAATTATTGACTGAGGAGTGCCAGCAATGGTGATGGCACGCTCTGTGGAATTGGGGAGCATGTCTCCTGCCACTTGTACCTGAGCACCGGTCGACTGGAACACAAAAGATTTGAGAAATCCAAACTCATTATGTATCATCAATATAAAACAAAATAAAAATAAAGATGACATTTAGTCAAAGAAAGTGGTTTTAAGAGTTCTGCATACCTCCCGAATTTCTTTAATCTTGCAGCCACCTTTCCCAATGAGGGAGCCACACTGGCTGGCAGGCACCACAATGCGTAGGGTCACTGGGGGCTTGCTGGTAGCTGTGCCGTTTGTCATTGAGCTGCTTATATCCTGCGACAATAAGAGGTCAGTTAACCTAACGTATGATTGGGTTGTCCACTGTTGACCTGCAACCACAACACCTACCTCTTCCAACTTTTCAATGATCATGGAAAATGCTTTAAAGATGGCAGTGGTTGGACCTGCCAATGTAATAATCCTCTCAGGACAGTTGCCCTCAGAGATGTTGATGCGAGCACCACTCTATTGACAAATGAAAACAATGATACATTCAAATTAGAGCTTTTAACAAAAAGGTGTACTGTGCGAATCTACAAACCTTATAGAAAGTATACCATGACATGCTGTACTGTAGTATCATCCAAGTATAAAAGAACTCACCTCTTCTCTCATCTTCTTCACAGATTCACCTTTCTGTTATAAGGAGGTTATAATTAAAACAAATGTATTTGGACTTGAAAACAAATCAAATAAGACTAAAAAGAGTTAACAGAAAGAAGCTTACCTTTCCAATAATGCTTCCCACTTCCTGCAATAAAAAGAAAAGTTCATTAAATTTTAAAGAGAACAATGGCCTAATTCTTCAAGCAATAGCAATTTTTGCACCGCTATTAAATCTGCAAGTTCTCACCAGCAGTTAATACCACCAGCTGGCCTTCATGTTATTTCAGCATTTGTATTTGAGGTACATTTTAAATAATCTGGGTCGTTTCAATGAATGACTTACGACAAGATTCTTAAAAAAAAAAAAAAAAATTAAAATAGGAATTGTTTAACCCTCTGTGGAAAAACTGCAGTTCAAGAATGACATCAGAAAAATGTGTCCTTTAGGAAATTGTATCTTTAGCAAGCTACAACTTAGCACTGCATTTTAAGGATGATGATTTTAATTTTTTAATGTCATAGTTTGGCATGTGTGCATTATATATAATCTAGTATGCGAGTCAGATATAAGCTGTTGCTTTTTGGCCTCACAGCTTCAAAAATCACTATAACAGCCAACTGTGGGACTCACAAGTGTAGCTATGCTGCTGTCACCAGTCCCAGATGGGTCTGAGACAAAATGGCTTGCGGTGCCTGTGGCAATGAATTTAAATTTTTTTATATAAAATGTAGACTTTTATCTTTCATATTTCTGTGATTATTCTCTTGTCACAACATCACAAGCATTGGTGAGTCCATCTTATGAAGCATCAGATTATGCACTTTAATCTAAGATATCAAAAGATAAAAGTGCATCACTCTCCGACCATGACGGGGTTCTTAAAGAACCAGCAATGTCAGAATTAGAGAGTATTTCTTCACTAAAAGAGCCAAGAATTACACAGATATGTTGATGCTCTTCCAGATGGCTTTGGTAATAAATTTATTTACCAACTAACTCAGGATTTTTTGTTATCTGATTTGTTGATGCATGCTTGTGATAGGCAAACAAAAGACATTTGAAAATATTTGATCTTTTTTCAGTTTCAATGCAGAATTTCCAGAATTGCTATGTGTAACGATCAACTAATTATGTGTAACGATCAACTAATTATGTGTACCTTTGAAGGTGTATAAGGCATTAACAGTAATTTACCAGTAAAATGCTCTTTTTTTAGCACATTACAAAAATACAACAAACATAACGTGAAATTACATTTAGAGAATAAAAAAGTCTTATGTTCAGAAGAGTCCACTTTGTAATAATTAACTCAATATTCTACTTTACTTTTAATAATTGATTCATCTAGTAAATACCCTTATCCCAATAAATCCCTGCTCTTCATAGATCTCAGAGGGGAGACTTCATTTCCATAAATAAAATGTCATCTGCTATTAGAATGCCCAACAAGCAGATGATGGGAGACCTCACCTTGCCATGCATGAGCAGCCTAATGGTGAGGGTGACATTGAGCCCGCCTTCAATCACGCCGGAATCCATAACTGCTACAATAGCCGTCAATAGAAAACTCAGGTCTTTGGTCTCTGAAACGGACCTAAATAAAAAAATAAATGAAACATTATACACAAGGGGAGGATGGAAAGACTGCAACAGTGTTATAATTCTTTGAATATGCTGGTGAAGATCATCAGTCATCCAGAACATGGTAAAAAAAAATGTTAAGGACAAAAACAACTGGACTTGTATTCTGTAGCTGAAGACGTTTTGCTTCTCATCCGATGAGCTTTCTCAATTTAAAGAACAAGGAGTGAGGGGTTCGAGTTATAAAGCCGAGGCGTTCTGTGAGCTAGATTCCTTGAATAGAAACCTTATGTATATTAGCAGTCCATTAAAATCAACTTTAAAAAGTCGATACCAAGTATCTACTGCTAAAGTATGTAGAAACATGTTGACATTATTATTAGGACAATATGATCTCAGAGAACCTTTTATCCAGTGTGATCTCATCTCACAGCATACAAACAGAGCATTAGTAAACAGTCAGAGGCTTAATGTAAACAATTCACAAAGTATGTGGGATTTTGGTTCTCACTTATCCAGTCCTCTGAGTAATTTTATCACCTTGTTAAATTGAACACAGAGCTTTACACACCATTTGAGTTTAAATCCAAAGCTGAAGGACAGATGTAGAAAGATAAACAAGCACTGTACTTCACAAAAATTTAGGGCACTAAGAACATCAGTGACAATGCAGCGTTACGCGTATTACGGTCAACAATCTCGTGAAATGAGGAGATAATATTTTATGGTGATTGATTTATACTCACCTGTCTACAACGAAATTATTTAGCGTCGACTTCTTCACTCAAGCAGCTAAAAAAACATGGTCGTGTGCCACTCATCGTTAGCTTGTAAAACAAGTTCATCGGCGTGTATACGACTATTTTCTTGCTGCTCGTAAAACTATAATTTTAGTAACACCGACACGACCAAAACATACGTCACACCAAGGGAAATGTTTATCAGCTTTCTTTGTACGTGTGGAGTAAGATAAAGGTAAACTAATTACTAAAGATAGTAGAAAGTCCGTTAGCCCTTTAGCATTTCCGATGGTAAATGAATGGAGCATGCGTGTTAGCAACGCTAGCTAGTTAGCTTAATTTGTCAACATGCTTATAATACCGTTTAGATCATTGAAGATGTATTCAGATGAACTCTTATGACTAAAAATATATAAATACGAGTAACTGTTTTTCAAAAGGCGACATAAAAAGTGTCTGCGCCGTGGCTAGTCAAGCTAAGCTAACCACATCACTCTGAACGGAGACTGCGTGTTCATCATCACGCGGCCTGTTAGCTGCTGCAGCTACACGGCGCGATTTCTTTCCGCTACTTCTGACCAAAACAAGTGTTTAAAAAAACTAGATATCGAATTTAAACTCACCTTATTCGTGCGCTGCTAAATGCCCGGGGGGAGGGTTGGGGTTGTAAGGGTAGAAGGGGAGGTTTGGGAGGGTAGAAACCCGGGGGAGAGTTTAAAAAGGACTCGGGGAAGAGGGAAGAGTGACGCGAGATCGAGCTCCACTCCTTTACACAAAGACAACAAAATTTTAACCTTTGACCTTTCACCCGTCACTCGTCACCCATAGCAACCACCCCACCCTGAGGCTGTTCTAACCATAGATATGGTTCTAACCAGCACGTCTTGTCATCTGAGAGGTCAAGTTACAACATGGCAGAAAATATGCATTTAAAAAAACAATAGTACATAAAATTAATATCAATTTTAAACACCAGTAAAAAAAAAAAAGTGTGTTGGAAATTATCAAGACTCTATAAATTATTTGTTGCCAATATGTTTGATTTTCAGAAGTATTGTTACATAAATTGAAACAAAATATGTTAAAGAGCCACTAGTGGGCATGATGCTTACTACAACTTACAAATAATACTAAACATTTATTTGTTAACAATGGAAAACAAATTATGATAGACTTTTTAAAAGATCAGTTTATTAAGACCAATAATCAAACATCCAACTTTATACATTTCACCAGTTTGTGTGTTTGCATTACAAATAGCTCCAAAGCAGTGCAGAATATTTTTGTTTTTACAGTTCATTAGTGATCAGCATAACATTAGGCATTTAGAAAATAAGTGTATCCTACTGTCTTCCACTCGTTAGACAAATCTACTCAGAAAACAAAATCAGTGCTTTATATTATTGTTACAAATAAATATTTCTAAAATAAAAACAATAGTGTATATTTGTACACAAGTATGTGCATGTTTTAAAAAAAAAGATATCTGCAAAAATTACCAAAACCCCAACTGTAGAGCATTTAATTCAAACAATATAACACCCACCCCCCAAAAAATAAAGAGATTGAAATTCTGTTTTTGTGTGTTATCTATAAATAAATTATAAACGTTAATGTAAATCTGCTTGATAAGAGCCATTTATGAGTGATTAGTTAATTAGAGCATTGCACTTTTTGAAAGTAGCATTTGGTGCAAGCTGATCGTTGAGTTGAAGGCCTCAGTCTGAATCACTGCTGCTGCTGCTGCTGCTGCTGCTGCTGGAGGACTGTAAAGAAGAAAGGTGGTTACAATTTTTAAACAGATGAGGTCACATAAAGTCACAACTAACAGCTTCCAAAGGCCAAACAAAGGTAAAAATTAATCTAGCATTACAACGGATGTTGTATTAGACCAGCTATAACGCCAAAAATTCTTACAGGTGAAAAGGATAATGGGTTTATGAGAATACTCTGGGCCCTGGCGTTCATAACATTTGTGCCTAAATATTGCAGCCCAAATAAACACCCAGTTGGAACTTTTACAAGAAAATTGTGCCAAGTTTAACCTCTCCAAACGGTTTCTTAAGACATCAAGATGAGTGTATTTTTGGACTTGATCAGATGTTATAATAGTTCTTGAGACAAAAAGTCACTTTTTTTTAATAAACTTAATTTTGCTCTTAGAAACATTTACAACAGGAGATTGTACTTTTACCAACCAACTGAAATTTTTAAGAGTATAATCTAAATATTCATTTTTATTCATTATAATAACCCTTGGCAAAATCAGCAACCATATACCGGTATACACAAATCTGTTTTTTTAAGTTACAATGTAAATCACACACAATTCATATGCTTGTGTCTCTATATAGGTGTGCAGCTTCTTGTATTTGTTGATTTATAACTGAATTAGTATGGTTTAGTGCAGTGTGGATATCACTGATAGGAAGTAGAGAGGCTGTGAAGGGTTAGGTTTTTCTGTCAATATTTCAGCAGCAGGAAGATCCTTTTAATCCACTTTTACACGGTCTTATTAATAATTTAAGATCAATCTCACCTTGCCATGTTTGAAGTGTCCGTGCTTGTGAGACTTGTGTCCCTTCTTCTTCTTCATCTTCTTTATTTTCTTATGCGCTTGTTGCCCAGCCAGCCCCAGTCCAACACCAGCTAAACCACCAGCTAAACCACCAGCTAAACCACCAGCCACGGGATGTAGCCCTTTATGATGACCTTTGTTATGACCTTTGTGATGATCTTTGTGGTGACCTTTGTGGTGATCCATGTGGTGATCCCCTTTGGGAGAGTGTGGGTATGGACCTGGATGAACCACTGGATATCCACCCGGAGCCACAGGATAAGCCTGAGGTCCAGGAACTCCATAAGGCATCACCCCTGGCTGTACGTTTGGCCCAATGGCTGGGTTCATGGGGGCTGGAAACTGGCCTGCAGGGTACCCAGGGTTTGGAGCCTGGGGGTAGACTCCTGGTGGAGGAACTGAGGGAAATATAGTGTTGTAACTAGGAGGGAAGGCAGGGTTTGGATGGTCCATTGGAGGATGAGGACCTGATACAAAAAAATAAACAAACAAATAAATACAAAATACTTATGCTTCAGTATATACCTTGTGTAGAATTTGTCTAAAAATGTTTGCTTTAAATGATATCCCACCTTGATTGGGCCACATGGTTATATTAATTTATTAAAAAATGTTCAGATTTCTCACAGTCCTGTGGAAACGGAAAGAAAATATGTAGTTTAGTAATTTGATAAAATACAATTAAAAGATTGTATGTTGTTTATAAACAACTCAACAGTAGAACTGCATTTTGACTCATCTCACACTTTTTAGTTCAAAGAAAACATAAAATAAAATACAAACTACAGCCCTCATTTAATCGGAAACAAACAGAAAAAAGTTGTCCGGCACTTTAAAATCTGTCAACTCAATAAAGTACTTAACTCGGGCTTAGATGGTAATCTGTAATTCCTGTTTATTAAAACCGCTTTCCAGTTGTTGAGAACATGTGCAGAGAGATACAGGGACATTTCACTAGCTCAAGATAGAAAAGCAATTCTGGATTTCCTGGTTATCCTGGCCCATTGTACAATGTACCCATTGTAAGATAAGATAAGAACTTTATTGATCCCGCAGGAAATTGTTGTCAGGGTTATTAACAGGTGAGTTTCACAATAATATAATGCTACATAAATTATTGCAGAGATTCTTTGTGCAAATCCCCTGACCACTGACTAGACTAGCTGACAGAATTAGGTAATTGTGGAGAACGTTTTCCTGACCTAAGCTGGAATCAAGCAGATCAGGTTTCTTTTAGTCACCAAGAAACAACAAACAGCTAAGAGTAGCCTCACATCAGCCTCATACAATCATGCGCTTTATGTTTTGTCCACTCTATTAATATTAAAAGAACGACACGATTTTAGAAGTAGCAGTCAGTCCATGATCATTCAAAAGCACTTCTAATTAAAGCCTTAAACTCAAAGTGCTTTTAAAGTAAATATAATAATTTAAAGAAAAATGTTTCTTCATGTAGAATTGATGTTTTAAAATAGTTTGAGGCTTCTTTTTGCTGTCCAGGATATACATTAAAATTGCCTTAGAACAACATAAAAAGCACCTAGACAACTTACTATTTCGAATTATGTTACAAAAACTAGAATGTGCACGTCAAATTGTGTCTAAATTCCTGGAAAACAGCAATTTGAGCAGCATAAAAAAAAAAACTTCTATTAAACTCAAGTTTGTTTTAAACCACAAAGTATAGATTTGAATTACCTGATCGCTGCAATACATATTTTTTATTATTTTGATAAATATTTTCTAATACATACGAGCTAAGTTACGCGTTTACCTGTTAGCCTTGATGTTGTGGAGTTTGTCAGGCCTTCTCGTTTGACTTCCGCGTTGAGCCTTTTGGTAGCTGCCCCACTAAGCCCCGCCTTTTTACATGACGTAACACGTTTTTAACGTAATGGGAAAAATAAATCAACAGACTAAGAATGAAAAGTTGACCTACCACTTTCTATTGTGCTGTAGAACTAAAACCATTCAGGATGTTACTCACTCCCGAATTCTGTCATGAGGAGTCACGAGCTTACGATGCAAATAAACATACACCTGAATGGAAAAATACCCATGTCCAGTTTTATGACGCAAAAAAACATTACATCAATAGCTCCAACACTGTCACCATCTAAACATGTTTCACATGGCTGCACATGCTTTATAATGGGGGGAGAGATATAAAAGAGTGAACAGGCATTCATAAAAATGTTATAAAAGTAAGGTTAAGAAAATGCTGGTTGTGTATTATTCATTGTTTGAATAAGCAGAAAAATATAACAAATGGCTATAAAGATTAAGTTAGTCATCCAGGTAGTAGATCAATTTAAAAATATCTGTATACAATCATTACAACTGACAGTGGATTTTGATTTGGATGAACATGAAATATTTTAATGCTTTAAAATATCATCTATCTATCTATCTATCTATCTATCTATCTATCTATCTATCTATC